GATATTTTAGAGGAGAAAGTTGCACCTAAATTGTAGTGTTTGTATTTGATGTATTGAAATTATTCATGTCTGATCAAAGCTTTAAGGAAAACCAGCTTACACCTGATTTTAAGAAGTGAGATCTGTATCAATAATGCCAGCAAACTCTCAGATAATCTCAGGCTGCTGAAATATTCTGACTGCGGTTTAGATGAATTACGCAGTGCCAATGACACGCTTATTTTCTTTCCTCTGGAAATGAAATATTTTATATGGTTACAGTTTAAAGATGCACATGCAATCATACATCGTTCTGAGTGATGTGATGAATGTCATTCTTACACAAGTTTTAATATGTTTCTATTCTGTGTGCATATTGATTCCTTGATGATTATGTTCTCATATTTTTCCCTCTTTAGCACATTATTTTGTTGTGTTCTTTAATCTTCAACAATTACAGACATTGTTCTTTCTGATGAATATTGCGTATTTGATTCTGTGAAATAGTGATGCGTTACAGTTTTCATCAGCAAGAAGATTATTATTTGTACTGTTTTCTGGAGGGAATTGAACAAAAAAAAAAAAAGGAAAAAAAAAATATTTCTAGAATTTCTAATGTTACTAATTCTTTACGTTGAACTGATTGTACTACAGCATTGCTCATTTGTAAGTCGTTATACAAATTTAGCATTATAAACATTTAGGAAACGGATGGTAGGTATGCAAGTAATTTCATTATTATACATATTACTTTGACAAAGTTTATTATATCAAAATCAACTATTTTCTGAATCCACAGCGACCATTTGCTGAAATTTTAGCAAACAGAGGAATATTTTTCTTTTTTATCTTTAAATCTATATTTTTTTTATTATCTTTAATACTTCTTGAGTTATAGGCACACAAACTTTGGAAAAATAATAATTATGGCACTCAGACAGGTATGTTCAATGCAGTTGTTTTGACGAAAGGAAATTCGATATATCTCTAGTTTCAACATTATTTGTTCTTCCGACGTTCCTCTTTAAAATAAAATAAGTATTATATATTTTTTGCAGACTGACCCACGTTTGGTTTTTGACCACTGAAAAAAAAAAAAGTGTACATTATAATGATTTACTCCTGGAGCCATACTGAAATTCCATTATCTCTGGAACTGAACCATATAGGGCCTTAAAAATAATGATGCCAAAAGGAAAGTTTGTTAAGATCCAATATCTAAAAGGGCATTAATATATATGTAATACTTCTTGAGTTACAGGCCTGCAAACATTGGAGAAAAAACTTGAAAAGTGCTGTTTGCCCATTTTTGAATGGTAACCATTGGCACATAATGCAATAAAGATTGCTAAAGTCAACAGATTGTACTAAAATACCTACCAATCTCTGTGTAAAAAATAACATTATGATGCTGCCATCTTTTTAAAGTAATTTTCTCCCCCCTGTAATTTGGCTTTGAATCTCAGGTGAAAACTGCCATTTTGACCCCCCTCTACAAAATAGTGGATTACTCAGTAAATATTCAGCCATGACATTTAATATTTTGGCTTTCATCACTATACATGTCTATCTTTCTTCAGAAAAAAAAAAAATAGCAAAATCTAAAATTTGAGCCGGGGACTTTTGGTTGAGCTGACACGGAATGACCCAGTAGTATATTTTTATTTAATGCCATGCCAGCATCTAAGGCTATTTTAATTTTATTTTAATAATTCAGAGAGTTTTGACTTACTGACTGTCAAGGAAGGTATTTCTCTTCAGGTTCGGCTGATAACTCTTTACCTTTACAAACAAACAAAATAATAAACCCTTAATCAATAACACAAAGATACCAGTGGGACTCAATGAAAAGAGAACGAGCAGCTTTTTATTTGTTTGTTCAGACACAGATTAAAGTTGAGATGAATTTGAGATTTACCCTCCAAAATCTCCAGCAGATGAATCTCAGAGAGCTGCTGCAGCTGATCCCAGCACAGTTTCTTAATCTCACTAAACAAACAGTCCTGCGGGAAACAACAGGTGTTTATTACAACAGCCAATGAAAACCCTCCAGCTAACACATGTGACCTAACCAGGAAAAAAACGTCTCTAGGTTACGTATGTAACCATGGTTCCCCGAGGGAACTACACGCTGCGTCGAGATCGCTTTGGGAACGCCCTTGCGTGACCGCGTTCTGAAGCACGTGTCAAATCCGTCCAATGGAGCAGCGAGACGTCACGAGCAGGGTGACGTAAGCACCAGAAAGCATAAAAGCGCATCCGGCCAGGCGCAAACCAGCTTCGATGATCTAGCGCCCGCA